TTTAAGGGGTGCCTGAATGGCTCAGTCAGTTGAGTGTCCGACTTCAGCTCAGGTCATGATCTCACAGTTTGTGTGTTCAAGTCCCACATGGGTTCTCTGCTGGCAGCTCAGAGCCTGCTTCGGAAACTGTCTCCCTCTCTCTCTGCACCGCCCTACCCCCCTCATTCTCTCTCAAAAATAAACATTTTTTTAATGTTTAAAATTTTTTTTTAAATATGGAAAAATTTTAAGAGATTTGATGGGTATGTGATAATTGCGAGGGTGTGAAAGAAAACACTACCATATATTGTTTATGGTACATGAATAGAGAACGGTATTTGGGGGAGTGATTCATGCAAGTCCTTCAAGATTTAGTAGGTTCATTAAAAAAGTGCTGGTAGGAGGCTTTCTGGGAAGGTGGTGACCTACATGCAGCCCTGCCACCTTCCTCTTCCAACCACTTCTTTTTTTGAAGTTCATTTATTTTGACAGAGAAAGAGAGAGAGAGAGAGAAGTGGGGGAGGACCAGCAAGAGAAGAAGAGAGAGAGAATCCCAAGCAGACTCTGCACTGACAGCATGGAGCCTGATGAGGGACTTGAACTCACGAACTGTGAGATCATGACCTGAGCCAAAACCGAGAGTCTGACGCTTAACTTACTGAGCCACCCAGGTGCCCCACCAACTACGTCTTTTGAGCAAAGTAGCTGCTGGGCATCCAGACTCCATGGTTTGCCTTGATAAGCTGAAGAGGACTTGGGACCTGCCAGGGTGCAGAGGGGGAGGGACCTTGCTAGCTTCCCCCCTCACTGGTCTACAAGAGAGCCTGAGGACTAGCAGGGAGAGTGCGAGATGGTCTAGATAAACGGGCTCATGGAAAAAGCGTGGCTGGTGCAGATCTACAGATCTGAGAGGGGAAGATGACTTTTCGTAGGATTACCTGCTCATGCTTCTGCCGCTGGGGACCTGCAGAGGAAGAGCAGAGCTGGGCTGAACCCTCCCAAATTCCCAGGCTGGAGAGCCTTGGCCTTGTAGCTGAGAAGAGTAGGAGACAATAGACTTCTCCATCTCAGCAGGGAATGGCCAAGTTGCCACCGGAGACGAAGCTACTCCACTTCCCACTATGTACAGAACTGTTGCTCAGAGCACATCGGGCGCTGGATCGAAGTCCCCAGGGATGACCAGAGCCACAGGGGAGCAAAAGAAAATGCTATGGATGCAGCAGCCGAAGATGGGAAGAACCAGCAGAACACACTGAGCCCGCAGCGCCTAGTGACGGAGAGCTATTTCTAAAAGGGCACAGATGGTAATGCTGACATAAGTGCATAAAAAGAACATTCAGAGAGATTCGAATATAGCATACAGATTCACGGCGGAACTAAGAAACAAAACCAAAAAAATGCTGTTTTCAAATTTAAAAAAATCAGTAGTGTATTGAAGGAAACGAAATGATAACATATCAAGGTATGCATGACAAGAGCGTACATTATGTCGAATGGGTTTTATTCCAGGAATGTAAGGGTGGTTTAATACTCAAAATTACAGTAACGGAGGGGGGGGGTGGGGAGGAGAAAAGTTGTATGATCATCTCATAGAAGTAGAAAAGCACATTTGATAACACGTAACACCTGTTCGTGATTTAAACACACTATTGGAAACTAGGAATAGAATGACGTTTCTTCATCCCAATGAAAGAGTCTACAAAAAGCCTCCAGCACCCATCATACTTCCCAGTAAAATACTGAAGGCTTTCCTTCTGCTATTGAAAATGAGGCAATGAGACCAGCTATCACCACTACTATCATCATTGCACTAGGAGTTCTAGCAAGAATAAATAAAAAATATATAGCGTTGAAAGGAGGAAATAAAACTACCATTATTTTCAGATATGGTTGTGTATGTGGGGGACGGGGAACAAAAGAATTTACAGGCAGAGTATTAGAATTAATAACTGAATTTAGTAAGTTTACTGGATACCAGTTTATTAAGCAAACAACAATTGTGGAAATGCAAGTTAAAGTCATAATATCTCACATAAACCATCGGGAGGGTAAAATGGGACAAACATGATCATATAAAGGCTAGCAGTGCTGTGAAGCAACTGGATTTCTCATAACTGTTGTGGGAGGATGAACTGGTACAACTACTTTGAACAATCGCTTAGCAGTATCTAGGGAAGCTGAGCCTACGTGTACCCTTTGTGCCCACAACTCCATTCCTGAGTATGCGCTACAGACGTGCACAAATATGTACCCCTCCACAAATGCATATAACAGCATATTTCACAGGAGTGAAATAGCCAACAAATGCAAACAGCCTGTTTGTCTATCAGTAGTAGAATGGATAAATAAATCGGAGTGCCTTCAGACAATGGAATATTATACAACGAGAGTAAACCACCCAGTTCTAAATGGATGAAGGTCACAACAACATGTTGAACAAGAGAAGCCTTCCACAAAAAGTACATATTCTATGGGGGTCCTGGCTGGCTCAGTAGGTAGACCACGCAGCTCTTGCTCTTGGAGTAGTGAGTTCAAGTCCCACATTGTGTGTAGAGATTGCTTTTTTTAAAAAAGTACATATTCTATGACTCCATTTGTATAAAGTTCAAAAGAAGCCAAAACAAATCTATAGTGATGAAAGTCAGAAGACTGATTCTATGTAGGGGTGGTAATTTCTGGAAGGGGTCATGAAGACCCTTTTCTATATCTCGATGAGGTGCTGGCAGCTTCCTTTATCTTGATTTGGATGATGGTTAAATGAGAGTGTTCTTGCAAAAATGTTTCAGTCGGACACTTATAATCTGTGCATGTTTATGTGTGATCCTTTAATTAAAATGTTATAAAGTCCAAATAAAAATAACCATTCCTTTACAAAAAAAAAATATATCAATGGATGCATTGAAGGAGAGGTTATTCATTGCTAAGACGCAAATTTGTGGCCCAGGAGATCAAGTGGAAGATAATCTCAAAAACAAATATAAAGCATGAAGGTAAGGATGAGAAATGTGGAAGAACACATCTCAAAACCCTTCTGTGCAGATAACAGGTGCCCCAGAAGAGACAAAAAACAAATAGCAGGGCAATAATAGACTATACATTGGGGCACCTGGGTGACTCAGTTGGTTGAGTGTCTGACTTTTGCTCAGGTCATGATCTCATGGTCCGTGAGTTTGAGCCCCACCTGGGGCTCTGTGCTGACAGCTCAGGGCCTGGATCCTGCTTTGGATTCTGTGTCTCCCTCTCTCTCTGCCACACCCACCCCCCCCCCCCCCACCACCACTCATACTCTGTCTCTGTCTGTCTCAAAAATAAATTAACATTACAAAATTAAAAAAAAAAATAGACTATACATTGATACCCTTAAATGAGAGAGAGAGACCCAGATTGTGAATTGAGAGGGCCATGCTACTCCAGAGAAGACCGAGGATCTAGACACAGCCATATCCTGGAAAATCTCTGAACTCCAAGGCTAACGACAAAACTGAAAAGCTTCCAAACTAAAAAATAAACCTACTGAAGAAAAAGACTTAGAATAGTACTGAATGTCTCCTCTGTCATCACTTCAGGCTAGGAAACATAGTGCTTATGAATTGCGGCTAAAAAAAGGTTGCAACCCAAGAATCCATATCCAGCCAAAGTAGCATTTAACCAGGTGGCAACAGAAACACATATGGGGACACGCATGGTTTCGAGGCCATGACAGTCATAGTCCATGTGATGAATATACTAGAGAAAGCTAGTTACCATAAATGACAAATAAATTAGAAAATTGACTTTAGGGGGCACCTGGGTGGCTCTGCAGTTGAGCGTCTGACTTCGGCTCAGTCACGGTCTCACAGTCCATGAGTTTGAGCCCCACGTCGGGCTCTGTGCTGACAGCTTGGAGCCTGGAGGCTGCTTCTGATTCTGTGTCTCCCTCTCTCTCTGCCCCTTCCCTGCTCATGCTCTGTCTGTCTGTCTCTCTCTCTCAAAAATAAATAAACATTAAAAAAAAAAAAAAAACCTGACTTTAAGATGGAGAAACATGAAGTGTAGAAGAAATGCTTTTGAGCCAGGACTCTAGAGATATGTGGTTAACTCCAAATGGTTGATTGTTTAGATTTCTAGAATTCTGCATAAATGCCCAATAAAGAATCTCGGAACAGAAAAGGTATTGTGCAAAGAAAACCCTTTCAATAGGCTGGAAGTAAGAGATCCAATTACCTTACCTAAATGATAGGAAAAGTCTGGGACCCACAGGAAGCAAAGCTGTCTGAAAATCTTATCTAACAAGAAGACAATAAGGGAGATAAAAGAACAGATAAAAGCAATGTCACAAAGTTAGTACCACCCTTAGATGCCCATGGGAGGGTCCCGTGCTCTGCATCCAGGTCTTAGAGCCCCCAACTTTGTTCCATGCAGAGCCCACCTTCCAGGCAAGGAGTGCCCGGTGTGTGTACAGGGAGGAGGAGGAGGGTGGGGAGTAAGGGTCATGCCCACCCACTTCCTTCTGGACTGTGCTCTGGGTTCCTGGGACTGTACAATATCTTGTCCAAACAGACCTGAGCCAACTCCTGGAGTCTGAACATGTTTTTTTCCAAGTCTGTTCCATAGGGAATGATCACAGAAGGCAGGACTCAGTGGTGGGGCAAGGGACAGGTGTGTGTGTGTGTGTGTGTGTGTGTGTGTGTGTGTGTGTGTTGGGAATGGTTGATGAAGCTTGTATATGTGTGTTGATGTGTCCACACCCACAAGCATGATGCTCTTTGTGGGCATGGAGCCAGGTTGAGAAGGAAGGGGGGTGGGCTGGGCGCCAGCGTCCTAGACCAACCGTCACCCTCCCTGCACTGTCACTTTCCAGAGCAGATCTCCAAGAAGTCTGAGAATTCTAAATTTGAGCCGGGGCTTCCAGGGTATTATGAAGATTTATTTGTCACAGCAGAAGGATAGAACATATTTTTTATAACAGCTTGTTAGTTTGATTTATAACTTTTATATATTTAGACAAATGGTATTTGGGTCTCCTTTTGAATTCTTCTCAGGTCCTGGGGCAAGAATAATGTCAGGACAGCACTCTATCTGGCAAATGATGACCCTGCATTCAGAGAAGAGAGAAATCACTTGGGATGGTATGAGCTGCCAAGCAAAGCTTCGTGAGAATTCACGGCAAATCATGGAATATTAGACCGAAAGGAGACAGCTGACATTATGCTAACTAAAAAGTCAAGTATCTTTTTTTTGGGTTGGAGAGGGCTCTTGGACAGAGACAGGGAAGATCACATATCTGGCTTATTTTATAAAGGAAAGCCCATGGGGGTTCTGCAGATAGTAACAGAACTGGGCCCAACCCCACGTCTCCTGGCTGTCAACTCCATGCTTCTCCACTTTCCCATTCGCTCCAGCTGGCCTGGGAGGAACAGCAGCTTTGGAAAAACACGAGTGTAGAGGTCGGGGGATGGGGTTCAGGGAGAGGCAGAGAGAAGGCCAGAGCTCCCCGAACTTTTCTAACCAGAGGCAAATGAATGCCTCCCCAGCCTGAAGTAGCCACCTTTGAAATCTCATACCTGATCTTTAAAAATGTTGTGAATTGTATATTCTCTGTCCCTTCCTTGGTAACTTTGGGCAGGTTATTGATACTTTGGGCCTCAATTTCCACATCTGTACAATGGGAAGAGTCGTACTACGAGGTCTGTGTGAAAAGTACATGATCCGATGTGTATCAAGTGTCCCTGGTGCTTCGTAAGTGTTGGCTGCTGAGCTCTCCCTGGCTTGTGTGCGAACAGAACTTCCCTAATGAAATGGCCACTCACGATATGGTCCATGGCTTTGCTTTGTCCATCAGGGCAGTATTATTTGGTGTTTAGAATCTATGTTGCAACTTATTTACTCCCTTTGGAAAGCGATATGCCAGCAACAGCTGAGTTTTGAAGAATTCATGACATGTTACCTTAGAATGAACACAGAGGAATGCTGAGGCCCGGTAAATGCACCATGCAGTAGTTCACAATCAGTTGAGACTCTTGGACGAAGGGCAAGCTTTCCTTTCCAGAGTTCCAGTCTATTTTTGTCAGCAGGGAGAGGTGATATGGCTTATTTTGTAATAATCCTTGTAATCCTATGATGATGTGCTTGTTCTAAATCTACTAATGAACCGGCTGAGATGTGGTGTTATGCTTTTCTGGGTGTTTTGGGAGCGTATCTGAGTTGCTAGAAAAGCCATGGAATTGTTTATATGTTGTGCAGGAGGGATTGGGAATAGATATTTGATAGTGTTTTAAGAAAACCAGCAAATATCTTAACTATGAAATTTATACACATCTTAAAATGAAATTGGGGAAAATATAGGGATGTACCTTTGGTGGTAGTGAATTCTAGAAGAAATGGCATGGCAAATCGCATAGAGGTATTACTGGGTGTTGCAGGACACAGTTCGTGTCCTGGCATCTCCCTCCCCCTGTGGGATTTCATTTGACTCCCTCCTCCCATGTTGCCCATGTCCGCCTCATGCCTCAGACGACCACCAATGTGAGCTCCTTTTGTGGGGGATGGGGGTTTGTTTTTAGATTCTACATATAGGGGCACCTGGGTGGCTCAGTCGGTTAAGCATCTGACCCTTGGTTTCAGGTCAGGTCATGATCTCATGAGTTCAAGCCCCGCATGAGGCTCAGAGCCTGCTTGGGGGTCTCTCCCCCCCCCCCCGCCTCTCTCTCTTCTCCCCACTGCCCACCCACTCGCTCTGTCTCTGTCTTTCTCAAAATAAATGAAAACACTTAAAAAAAATATTCCACATATAAGTAAGACCATTCAATGTCTTTTTCTGTTGGACTTAATTTCCTTAGCATGATGCCCTCAAGAGCCATTTGTGTTGTAACAAATGATAAGATTTCATTCTTTTTTATGGCTGAAATAATATGTTAGGATGGAAGTCTACCATTTTATTATATTTTTTAAATGTTTATTCCCTCTGTGTTTTGTTCCGGTTTCCCTTTTCCTGCATTCCCCTGGGGAATTGCCTGCAAGGTATTTGGTAATCAATTTTGATTTCTCTGAAGATGACTTTGAATATATCATATATGTGTGTGTTTGTGTATGCATAGACACATATATAATTTAAAAATATACTATTGTATATATAATTTTTAAACACACACACACACAGACTTCAGGATCTGATTCTGGGTGTTTGCAACATCATAGTTCACTTCTAAAACATTTTTGGTGTTCATGCTGGTTGGTTTCATGCATTGGTCATTCCGGAGTCTTCCTGGAACTTCACAAACATATTTAAATAGTAGTTAACAGTGGAATATAGAATGCTTGCCATTTAGGTCCCTTTACAAATCCCCCTTTTAAAATCCACTTGTAAGAATCACATCTTGCTTTCAGCCATCAAAGGCTAGTCTCTTAGATTTCTCATATACTCATCTCTTCTGTTGTTCTTTGTTCATTCCAATGTTCCAAGTTCTCTTCTGTTATCATTTCCTTTCTGTTTGGAGAATTTCCTTTGGCAATTATTTTAGGGAAGGTTTACTGGTGACAAATTATTTTCATTTTCCTTTACCTGAGAATGTATTTCACCTTCATTTCTAAAAAAAAACATTGTTAAATATAGACTTCTCTATTAAAAGCTCTTTTTTTCTTCACTTCTTAGGCAATGTGGTGCCATTACCTTCAGGCTCCATGGTTTCTGATGAGAAATACACTGCTATTCTAATTGTTCTTCCCCAAAGGAAATGTTTCATCTCTCTCTGAATTGAATGCTTTCAATGTTTTTGTCTTTCGTTTTCAAAATTTTTATGGTGATGTATCTTGGCATGAATTCCTTTGGGAATTCTCAGATTTCTGACCTACCTTCAAGTTCACTGATTGTTCTGTATATCATTTCCATTCTGCTATTGAGGGCATTCAATGCATTTGCTAATTTCTTTTAATTTTCCAGCTTAGAAAATTTCAATTGGCTCTTTATATCTTCTATTTCTTTTCTGAGACTTCATTTTTTCCGTTTGTTTCTAATTGCTTATTGAAGCATTTTGGGGATGAATACTTTAAAGTCTTGGGCAGATTCTTTTTTCACTGAGATGAGATGTTTCTGGTTCTTGATGTGGTGAATAGTATTTGATTGCGCTCTGGACTTTTTGGATGTTGTGAGAACCTAGTTCTTTAACTCTTCTATGTTGGCAGGTAGTTACCCTATTTGGCTTTAGAACATACATCCTGGCCCATTTTTGCTTCCCCCCATCCCCTTACATTTTTGTGGAAATGTCAACTTAGTCTTCAAAGCTTTTGCTGCATTATACTGGTCTGCCCCATTTTTTGTGCTATTTAGAGGCCAATCTGCATCCTAGTTAGCATTTCACACTGTAATTCACTTCTAAAACCTTTGCTGTTTGATTCTGGTCTGTTTCATGCCTAGGTTGCTTGAGAGTCTCCCCAGTACTTCATATGCAAAGGTAAGGAATTCTTTTCTCTTGCTCCTTTCTCTAAGTAATCATTTCCCCACTTTCTGCTTGAGAGAAGCACCACCTCATTATTGCAAGGTGGCAATGAAAGCCAAGATGCCACCCAGTCTCCATGGAAAACTTACCCCTAACTGATAGGAAGGGGAAGGTGTGACACCCCATTACCAGAGGACAGGAAGGAAGTCAGGGCTCACAGCACCAGTGCTGACCATTGTACTCAACAGAGAGTGGAGTGGGTATAGGGTTTTTGTGGTATTTGTGAGGAGTAGGATGGGTACTATCCAAAGGGTTCTGTCCTGCTCAGCTTCCCCTCTCCTGGTCCTTTGGTTACAGGAAGAAGTCTCTTCTTAAGGTCTTTATTTTGTCTGCTCCTTGTTTCTGGGTTCTGACATTCTCTAGTCCCCAGAAGAGGATATATAAGCAGAAATATAAAACAGGGAACTCACCTCCCCCCCTTTTTTGTGTCCTGAAGTAGGACTTCAGGCTAATTTGCATTATTTTGTCTACCTTTCAGAGCCTTCTCATATTTATTTTATATGTTTTGCCCAGAGTTTTTATCTACAGCCAAAGGAAGAAATGGGGTGGCAGGTGTTATAGCATCTTATCTGGAACCAGAGACATGAACCCTAGGTTTTTATCTGAACAACTAGAAGAATAGAGTGACATCAACTGAGATGGGGAAGGCTATGGACAGAACAAGTTTGTGCATGAAGATCAGTACTTTGGTTTTGGTTATATTGAGTTTGAAACATCTACTACTCAAACAAGTGAAGAAACTGAGAGGGCAATTAGAGATCTACGCCTAGAGTTTAGGAGAGATATTTGAGTTGGTGATGTAAGTTTGGAGTAATCAAACATATAGATGTTCTTCCAAGACATGGTGGGAGTGGGAAGGAAACCAAGTACGTTAAGAGATCAGGGAAATGAGGAAGAACCAGCAGATGCAACTGAGAAGTAGAAGCCAGTGAGGCAAGGAGAAAACCAAAAGTCTGTGGTATCATGGAAGCCAAGAAAAGAAAACTGCTTGAAGAAACAGGGAGAGCTCACCTGGGTCAGATATTGCTAATTGAAGATGTTTTTTGATTTAGATTTAAAATATTACATTTCACTGTGTAGAGGTTACCCGTGGCTTTTGTAAGAACAGTTTAGGTGTTGGGGGTGGTGGAGAAAAGGATTGGTGTGGATTTATAAGACAATGGAAAAGAGGAATGGGAAAGCGAGTGAAGAATTCTTTGAGGATTTTTCTTACAAGGAGAAAAAACTAGATGGGGAAGTAGCTGGCAGCAGAAGAGAGGTTAAAGGATAACTTGGGGACTTTTATCTGTTAGTATTTTGTTTTTAGATGAAGAAATAATAGCATATATGCTATTGGGAATGATCCAGTAGAGAGAGAAAAAGTGATGATGTAGTACAGAGAGGGGAGAATGTTAAAATGATTCCTTGAGTAGATGAGGACTGGGATCTAATGTGCAGAGGCACTGGCTTGAAATGGCAGCGAGGACCGTCCATCCATGGCAGGTACAGATGGGAAGAGAGTCAGTGAAAGGTCTCTCTTCTCTTCTCAGTGAAGTATGAAGCAAGGTCATCTGCTTGTGAGGATGGAGTAGGAGGTATTAGAGGTTTGAAGAGAGAAGTAAAGGTATGAAATAGCTAGGAGAGGTGGGAGTGAATGGATTATGGAATGTTCTAAGGCCCACCAGAGTTTTCTTGCCGAAAAAGTAAGATGACACAAATTGGAGCCACTATGTGCATGTACAGTTATCTGCTTGCAGAAAGAAATGAATCCATCCAGCTTTAGTGTCTCATGACTCTGTTCCTTCGCCCCACTCACACTGCCCTCATTGTCCTATTATTCTTGGAGACCTGCTTTTGAACAAACTAGAAAAATAGAGCCTTGCAACAAACTTGAGGTGGCAGTTCCAACCATGTGCCCTGTGGCCACATGAAATATTTTTGTCGTGAGGGAAACATGGCGACACCTGTTGGACACTGTGTGAACTACTAGCTCAAGGTGGTGCACAGTTACATTATCAGATGGTGCTACATTCCTCTCCGTTCCTCGATGTATTGTGAAGCTGATTTTCTAGCTCTTGCTGAATTAAAAGAAAACACTGCACAAAAATCAGTGTGGCATTTCCAATCCGATTCTAAAGATTGAAAAGTTGTTCAGCACCCAATAGGCACACATCCCCTTGGCAAGTAATTGTGGTTATTTAAAAATAAAATAAAACATTTTTTAAAGTTTATTTATTTATTTGGAGAGAGAGAGAGAGAGAGGGCAAGCAAACGTGAGTAGGAGAGGAGCAGAGAGAGAGGAAGAGAGGGAATCCCAAGCAGGCTCTGTACTGTCAGCACAGAGTCTGATGTGGGGCTGGAACCCAGGAACCATGAGATCATGATCTGAACTGAAGCCGGACACTTAACTGAAGCCTGAGCCACCCGGGCACCTCTAAAATAAAAGATTTTTAAACTTATATTGTTTTGGGGCACATGGCTGCCTGAGTTGGTTAAGTCTCTGACTCTTGATTTTGGCTCAAGTTGGGATCTCACGGTTAGCGGGTTTGAGCCCCCGCATCAGGCTCTGCACCGACATCACAGAACCTGCTTGGTGTTCTCTCTCTCTCTCTCTCTCTCTCTCTCTCTCTCTCTCCCTCTCTCTCTCTCTCCCCCACTTGTGTGCACTCTCTCTCTCTCTCT